TTTTCATGGCGAATGACTAATCAAAATCAAGCCGTCGGGTATCTGACAGAGGGCTATGCTGCCCCGTGCCCAGAATCGAGGGTGGACCTGTAGAGGCTGAAGGATCACGGCTCGCGCAGGGAGTTTTGCGGGAATTTCCCACTATCGGAGAGATGCTGCTGGACCGTGTGAAGCAGGCAAGGAGGGGAGGACAGATTGGAAGAAGTTGGTGCAAGGGAGAGCGAACTGTTGCATCAGGGCGTCGAGGGGCTGGTGGCAAATTTCAGGACTAAGCAATCATGCTACTGGTAACCAGGAATGGGGAAGCGGACGGCGACACTAACCCTAACCTCGACCTTAAACGTTAACAATTAACCCTAACGGCAACCCCAACCCTAACCGAAATAGTAACCATAACCGTAGCCCTTAGACATTGCCGTAACTGGAAAACCTAACCGTAATACTGAAACCCAATCGTACGCTCAAGCCCTAACCCGAAAACCTACGCCTAAGGCATAACCCTAGCCCGGAAATCAAAAACCATTAATCGGTACCCTAATCCTAACCTCAACCGTAAAACGGAAGCCAAATGGATCAGATGTGATTATGGGACCCCACAAAATAGCCCCCGTAAACAAACCCACCAGCCACCTGTAATGCGGGGCCTGGCTACCGACTGCAATCTAGCCCATTTAAATGTTCACCGTCTTTTGTTCAGACGCTCCCGACTCATTAAAATCCACCAGCATAATGAGTCAGAGGGGGAGAGTAATGTCTGAGAAAGCCGCAAAGTTGGTCTATCGGCCAATAAAACAACTGTGATGCATGGTAACGGCGCTTTCGAATGCTTAGGTTGAATCTGCTTACCATCCAAGCTACTGGGATTGCGCCCCAAAAGGGAAGGGGCGGCGTCTATCGATGAATCGTGACTCCGAGGCGGGACCGACAATTCTAGCATGCCTTGTGGCCTGGAGTACAGTCGTGTAGTGAGAATGTCTTTCGATCGCGTATGGAAATACCACACAGACCACGGAGATAACTGATAGGTCGGGACCGACACGATCCGTGCACTTCCGCTGACGACAAAGTCACACGGCTGCTCATTGATAATACCGCCTAATTCATATTGACCCAACTGTGAAAAACTCGACACCTCGGTGGGACACACACCCACGAGGTAGGGGGAAAGCTTTAGTACAGCCAATGCTCTAATCACTTGAGCTACGAGGCCCCGCCGGACGACGCGGATTATTCAAAATCTGCCAAAGCATCTATGAATTACGTGAGCCTGGTAGTCATCTGATGTATTCCAGGTGAATTACTTAGGAAATCCTGCTTGAGCAGTCAACTTACTGTATCAGATTTGGTGGATTCCAGACGTTGCAGTAGGCTGGGCGGGTAACTTGACCCAAATGTGATTAAACTCGCGTCGTCCGGCGGGGCCCCGTAGCTCAAGTGGCTAGAGCGTTGGCTGTACCAAAGCCTTCCCCTTGCTGTCGTGGGTTCGAATCCAACCGAGGCGCCAAGTTTCTCACAGTTGTGTCAATATGAATTATTGCAAATCTGCCAAAACATCTATGGAATACCGCCTAACACGACTCCACAGATCACTGATGTGATCTGTGGTTTGGTTGCCTTCTGTCTCTTAAACAATACGGCAACCAGCATTGTGAGCCATAAATAGGTCTGGATTTTCAGCAGTTTTATCTCGCGCAATTCAGGAAACCAGCCAATCAGCTTTGGTCCTGAAACCATCGCTCGAAGGTGATCACTGAAACTCCCTGAGTTAACTCGCCATTCAAATAAAAATCGACTTGCACGCCGCAACGAACCCACAAATCTGTGGCTGTTTATTAGACGTAGCGACAGCAACCGAACCCCCTTGCCAATTGATCGCAGCCGGGCATGGTTCACGCTCACATCCCGCGCGGACGACTTGGCCCCAACGGCCGGCTCTCGGCTTGGCGTGACAATTTCTACTGCTGTCTTCCAAGCTGACGGCACTCCCCCAGTCGCAGTCTCCTGGCGTTTGATTTGGGAAACTCCTCGCTGTCGACCACTGTACTCTGACAGACAACCACGCATCCTTTGTTTCCCCCAACCTGAAAAAATACGTTACTGCAAATTAGATACGAGCAAAACTAGAAATACGCATGACTTGGCCCAGCCCATTACGATGAGGAAAACCGCTGACCGTAAATACGTGTGAGCGACTGTCAACGTCTTAAGAAGGTAACCAAGGCGACAGATGGGAGTCAAGGTCATAAAAAAACCCATATAGACATAGAAAAGCGAAGATACAGGACAAAGAGGAGAAGTGAGTGACGGCGTGATGTTAACGAGACTGGTCCTAGCGGGCAATGTTGAATTCGTCGTCTTTGAAGGCCTTCCTTGCACGCTTCAACTCTTCGCTGACCAGGAGCAGTTCCTTGGCGCGGGAGAACTTGCGTGATTCCTTCCTCACCAGGTAGGCGACGTCCTCGACCGTGATTTTGCCGACCCGTCCGGTCTCCAGAGCGCGACGCGACTAGGTACAAGCGCAGCAAGACGAACATACAGGCAGTATTTTAAGAAAAAGTCAGGCGGCCTCTCGGGGGTTTTAGATAGGAGGAGCTTTCTACTAAGTAGGAACCATGTTTATAATGTTTGAGCATGCAAATGTGACATTGGCTCGGCAGTTCGAGCAGTCGACACGAATTCGGAAGAGAGGAGGAAGGGGTGGTGGGTCGATAGTGGTTCGGTTCAGACTTGGAAAACTAATTCCCTGACCACGCAAGTTTCAGACTGCCACACATTTTTTTTCTAGTTACGAAGATTCGTGGAGCCTAAAATGGCTCAAACGGCTAACGCCCAATACCATACTCGATTTTGATTCGCCAGTGTAGGCCTACTGCAAGTTTTACTTCTGTTCACACCGAAAAAAGGTTGCATGCAGAGTTGGAAAACCACAGTTTTTTTAAGTGCGCACGATCACTTCGCAGAGCCATTGCGAGCAGTTTAAAGCCACTGTAAATGGCAGCTCCGACAAACACTGACTTTTCAATCCGGCTCACAGAAAGTCGTAGAGCAGACGGCCGTGTATGGCGGCATCGCAGAACAGTGGGACAGTATCAGAAGGGTTGGTTCGGGCTGTAAAGTTGCAGAGTTCGTGATGTCAATGAGGACTGTTCCCACTGCATGGTCAACTACGCCTTGATAACTGGCCTTTCGGTTGTCGCGAGTGCCGAAGTCCTCATTATGCTCTACGGAGAAGGCGCGGGGTGGCGACTTGCGCAGCGTCCACTGCACCCCTAACTCCCTGCCCGGCCCACTTCGATGGCAAGACGGAGTCATGATGACCGAAGGCGGACTCGGGCGCAGACTTGCTGGTCACTAAGGCCGTCACGTTGGATACGCATGTCTTCCAACAGCTGGTGGACGTTTACAAGGGCAATATCGTCATCATCTTATTGGTTTTATATTTGAGTGAAAGAGCAGCGTAAAGATGCAAGTAGTAACGTGCCTGGATGACCCCCTGGAGGTAACAGCACTCGATCAGGAGAGGGAATGACTCATCGGCACATGCCTCTCATAGAACGGAGTTTTTTCCCACAAACATCCTAACGAGAAGTGTTATCACCAAGGACAAGGACGGCAGAAAGGGCACTTTCTAGCTTCGTAGCCATCGTCAGCTACGCGGGAGTACAACACCCAGATCGAGAGTACGCGGATCTAGAACCAGGACTCCACAGTGGAGTCATGGGTTCATCGCTTTGTCCGAATTGATTGAAAAAAGTTGTTTAAACAGTTAAAAACGCCGTATAGGCAAATACCATGTCGATGATGTACTGAACGGCTATCTCCTCGAGAACAGCGACGGTCTCCGGCAGGGGGGATTCCACGTCACCAAAGGCGTACAACATTGACCGGACTAAAAAACGTTAGAGGAAAAGAGCATTAGGAGGCATGAACTCCAATAGAGAGACTGTCTTGGTTTTAATAAAAACAGTGAGAGGGTGGGTTCTGGTTGACTGCCCTCACCGAACATTCCGGCGTGGCTGGGTTATATATATACATATATATAGTGGTAGGGGGTGCTCACCGATCGTTCTTACAGTACTGTTTCGGGCTGATTGTGCCTTCATTCAGCCATACGGAGCTTGTTTGCTTCGTGAAGCCAATAGATCGGTGTGCGCCCTTTCCTGATTGAATAAATACCCGATCTGCAGCGACAGAGGATGACAGGTGGCGAGGCACTGATGAACTTCGGTTCGATGAAGTGCTTATGACCCATCTGGTAGGCCTCAGTGGTGGATCGACTTCGCCAGGTGCGTCTGTGCGCATGTTTGTGTTTCTGGTGCCAGCTGCGGGTGCTCAGGGTTATGATTGGCTGAATGAAGGCACAATAAGCCCGAAACAGTACTGTATCAATCTACCCGCATTCTCCGTCGTCCCTCCTTGCTGCTATTATGACTTGGCCGACTTTGGCCTGGTAATTGGTTGCCTGTTCGTGACCTTTGCCACACATACGGAGCTTGTTTGCTTCGTGAGGCCAATAAATCGGTGTGCGCCCTTTCCTGATCGAATATATATATATATATATATATATATACATAATGTCACCATGAGCACCATCGGCGTAGTGGCCATGGAACGTCTCACCCACCCAAACATACAGCCGAATTGGTGGACTTACTGTCTTTTAGGAAGAGGCGTTTCTCTTGATCACCAGGGTTGGCCTCCTGTTCTTCAAGATCACCGAACAACTAGAGGAAAAATGGGTACTAGTACGTCAGTTGGATAACTGGTGAAAATTAGTGGTGATGAGACGCTGCCAAAATCAAAAGGGGAAAACCAAAAGCCTGAAACAATGGACTTAAAAGAAGACGGGGGCTGCTATTCGCTTTTTAAACCAGCCGGCCATCCATACCAGTCTTAGACTTGACGGCAAATGAAAGCAAACAACCAATGTGAACTAGGATTACTTGGGGCTTTTAACTAGGCAGTAGGACGGTACAGAAAAGAGTGCAGTTGACCATCTGACCCACCTCAGAGGGATTGAAGTCTCCATCGGCCATACCTAAAAACGACGGGGAAGTATGGGCGTAAGAAAACTAGAGAACGTGAGGTAACTGCGTGCTGTCAACAAAGCTGTAACGTTAACATTGCTGTGCGAGCTGAAAAGTTAAATTCAGCGGTCAACTACTAAAGCCCGCTTACTCCTCCTCCCCAACTGCAGAATTCGCGATTTCTTGCTGATTCCAGATGACAGAGAGGACTCATTTATTAGCAAATACAGTCACATCAAAGTAAAGGTTGTTTTTGTTATGTTCGTGACGGAGGGCTGGATGGTTGATCATCTTTGTGAAGCCTGACGTCTGGGGTGTACGCTTCGCTCCCAGGGTATGGCGTTAGTTTGTTTGTCACCATCGGATACAAGCACCCGTCATAAATCTAGGTCTGACTACAAAGCCCCAACAAGAGTGCCCAGTGTGCGGTTTGCGAAAACATTACGATGGCAAGTGGCTTCGTCAGCCTTCAGTTTTTAGGTGCGGATGAAAGCGCGGTCGATATAGCCATTATGAGAGCATGGAATGCTGCGACGAGCAACACATTCTTAAAGACGAGGCAATCCGAAAGTCATGAGAATTCAGCTGTCCTTTCACTCCGGTCGATCGGTATTATTTTAAGGGGATCCTTTTCGCTACTTCACATTGTCAACAAACCGGAGAGCCAAAAGCACTTCACCATTCACCCCGCAGTATGCGCAGGTAGGCATATGACAGAGCAGTGACGATAGGGGTGCGTGAACCCGTGTAGCCGGTTTGCTGCCCAAGTTCAGTTGAGTGTATTTGAGGGAAAGTAGGTATGTACCTACTGGTTACACGCAGGTGTCCAAGTCGTGAAAAAAAATGACTGAAAAGTCAATTTCTGTCCACCAATTAAGGTACATTTGTGCATATCACTGATCGACCATTCCGGTTCTCATAAGACAAGTGGTCCTGCGGTGCAGTTGTGAGAACGTTACCCTTTGACCAACCAACTGGGCTGCAGACCTCGGGCGTGGCAGGCGTGGATGATGGCGGTCACTGAACTGCCGTTAATGTGGCCCTAGTCTTGCAGGTAAGGCTCCTCGTTTGTTAGCAAAAATACCTAAATTTGACTTCCGACGCGCTTTGTTTCCACATAACCTCCAGTAAATGTACATGCTGCCTCTTTAGAGTCGAGTCCCAGCCACGGTGAAAATGTTCCTTGGAAAAGGTCCCCTATTGAAACATTATATAGTAGTCAGTTTGTCTTCCTATTACCGACTGCTGCCTGGAGCTCTCATTTTCGTTTGTACCGATAATTCATCAATTATAATTCAGCAGGCTGACCACCCAGACACCTGATTAATCAACCCACATCTCACCAGGCCAAACACACCTGAGGCATTTGTTACCAAGAGCCGAACAGAGCAGATGAAGTTTCGTGTGTCAATCCAGGGAAATGCGATTTACACAAAAATCCAGGAAGAACTGAAAAAGACACCGGACTTGAACAACAAATTTTTTTCAACATGAGTTACACAGGTGTCTGGAGGAATTCGAAACTTAGGGCAGCGTGCTACCGCCAGTGAAAACATGCTACATGCCAATCAGTATGGCACTTTTAACTTCAAGATCGTTTGTAAGGTGTTCACGCAATGTTTCATAACTCGGCTGACCCAATTGTGAAAAACTCAGCGGCTTCCGCGGTGTTCAAACCCAAGGCAACAAAGGCGAGGCTTGAGTACAACCAACGCTCAAACCCCCTGCCAAAACACCTATTAACTAAGTGAACCTGATAGTCATCTGGCGGATTCTAGATCGGTTGCTTGGGAAATCCTGCTTGGGCAGTCGCCAACTGTACTAGAATAGGCGAATTCCACACGTTGCAGTAGGTTGGGCCGGCAAATCGACCCAAACGTGATAAAATACAAGATTCTCAGTCAGTCTCGTAAGCCAGGTAGGTTAGAGCGTTAGATGCACTTTAATCTTGTCCTTATTGTGGTGGGTTCGAATCCCACTGAGATTTTCACAAGTAGGTCAGATAAACTAATCAAACTAACTAGTGCACCTACCTATGTTTCATCAATTTCCCCGCAAGGTGTACACTTAAGCAGAAAGCCGAATGTTCGGTGAGTTACGATCTTTCAAATCGAATTATGTATTTTCAAACACCCCTGCGGTCTGAAACCAGAAGAGCATATAGGGGACCTCTTGCCAGTCAGATATCATAAAATGCGTTTGCGCGAATGGGAGGTCGCAACCACAGACGCCTGTCAACTAGCAGTGACGAAAAAAGGACGCTCAAAGCGCGTCGCGGTGGTCCGGTTCTTTATCGGCTACACCAGAGTCACATCATCTGGCAGACTCTATCGACGCTACGGTAACCGAGTCGGTTGAGAACACTTTCCAGAGGAGTCTACTCATTGTGCGGATGCAATTGGAACGATGGCCGGACTGTTTTAAACCCCCCCCCCTCAAAACGGAGGCGAACAAACTTCAACCTAGTGATGCTGCTCTCCTGAGATGATGAGTCTGCCAATTAAAAGGCACACCACACAAGCAGACAAAAAGGGGCGACAGTTACGAGCAGAAATAATATATTTCACATGCAGTGAATACACACAGGACTGGAGACCAGAAGCATGTTTAGGAAGATAGGAACATAAAAACGATAAAGGCAAAGATCCGCTATCTGTTGACCGTTGTCGCCAGTCTTAGATAGCTGACAGCATTTGAAACCACTTTAAAAAGGCCGCCGGTAGGTTTATTGTGCGACGACAGCCACTACTTCCTGAAGAGGGGAGTGTTGTAGGGGTCTTACGAACACCACACCTCATTCTCTCTTTCCATACTAACGAGGTCAGCACCACAGCCGACCCGGTTCGTTTTGAAACCTGTGGTCAGACATTGTTATGTAGTGAGCAGAGACCCGTTCGGCGCGTCTTCTGCCCCACGCTCACTCTTCCCACATAGATAGTGTCTTAATGAACACAAAAAACAGTAGCTGGGCAGTTGCAAGCGGCGAGGTTCACGTCTGCTGCAAGAGGTGTGCGCAGCCGCGACTTCTGTATGGGATGAGTCAAGGTGACACGGACTTGTGACGCACCTACCTCGCTCTATTCTTCTCACGCTTCCTCTCTACGGTGGCACGAAATGATCGAAACAGCTGGTGATTAGAATGGGTTCAGTGGCTGGCAAATCTAAAAGCAACTCGTCTACGCGTACATCACACGAGCTAACGGCTTTGGGTGTCGCAGGGGTCACAATAAAAAGGAGCCCCTGGAGTCTGACTCTCAAAAAGGTGGCAGACTTTTAAGCCACGAGTATTGGCAAGTCTTGACAGATGCAAGGCGTGTTTAGTTGATTACAGCGAGAAGCCGAGCTCTGAATCTGCCCCAACGACTCAAGCAGACCCAGTGACACCCGGCTAACGGAAAGCAGGCCGTCAATGTGGCCTCCGTCCTCCGTTAAACGCAAGACGGAGGCGTCAGGACACACAGACACAGCTCGAAGACCGAGAGGCTGCGAGATTAGCTACTTTATTGTCGTTACTGTTATCGTAATTAGAACCTATAGAAACCGAAAATAGGTGAATTTGGAGCCCAAAAGAAGCCGTTCGTGTAGTACGAACCTCAATTTCCCAACATGTGAGACACCAACATACTGACTGGTGATATAGGAGGTAGAGGGGAGACATGAGGAGTGGACAAAACTGCAAAAACAACTAGCCTACAGATGGGGCAAAGTCAACTAGACACGACAGGACTGGGGTCGCGGCGCGTTGCATGGTATTTCATCGACTCTGCGCTCTCCCTCCTCTTCTTCGTGGGTTTTGGGGGTGGCGGTGCGGGTCACACCGGTCATCTCACCTTGCTCTCTGTGCCTTGGAGAACGAACACGGGCAAAAATTGTTGGCTTCGAAGTAAACTGTGGAGGCGGAGGGAGAGAAGACATTGGAGGTCGGCTCTGAGCAGGGTAAGGATTTAATGGAACAGCTCAGAAGCTAACAGATAGCAGCATATGGTAAGAGAGGCGAGAGTCACTGACACAGTACGACAGGGGTCACAGCCACAGGAAAAGCAATACTCCGAGGTAGTAGTTGTCGGCATGGAGTTGAAATGATTGAGCAGGCCCGTATGCAGGTGGGCGGGGGAGAGGAGAAGGGGGCGGTGCTGGTGGACGGAAAGACCTGAATCTGCAGATGTCCACTTCTTTAAGACTTGAGGTATCTGAAAGAGCAGACAGAGAACTCTGTGAGTAGCAGACAGGCATCGGAGCATGATGTATTGAGTGGACGGAACGAACCAGCTTATCAGCCCTAACTAGTTGACAGCCTAAAGGAGAGTACCAAAGAGTCATACTGCCAACTTACTCCCGGTGTCGGGGCTTGTGAACGACTGGCAGAGGAGTAGTGCATTAAATTAGTAAATACTGACTGCCATGGAATATGACGGGAAGGCAGCTGGGGCGATATTTCCAACCGGCCGTGAGGAGTGTCACACATTTCTATTTGAACGGTCGATTTAGATCAGGCCTACTAAACTGAGCGCAGTTAATTTTTTCACTAGAGTGCGGTATAAACTCCCACTGTTCATCATCGAAAGTCAGGTTACCCAGACCTGGGTTGGGCATGGCTGACTGACGATGCCTAATATGCCAGAAATAGTCCCATCAATCTCCCTTGATTTTGTAGGTATTGCTTCCAGAGTCATTAGAACCTGCTATTCTACCTGCCTGCAGTCCTTTAAGTCCCAAAATGTAGGACATCGCGAGGGTTCAAGAACGCGACTGACTCATTATGGGGAGAGATCGCGCTGAATCGGATTCACTGCGGTGAGACTGTATTAGACCGATTGAACCTAAGTGTGTTGCCCCCAAAGCGGGCCACGTGGTTGATGCGTTGGACCAACACGGGGGCCATGTCGGACTCTCACAGGCGTTATCGGATTTGTGCACCATAACAAACGCCAACATTTCGGGGTGCAGTGGCAGACCCGGTTGTCGACAAACGTCGCGCGCACTGGGACCCTGTCGCCCCCTATATTTGTTGTTGGTTAAAAACCTGACCATTTGCTGTACGGACCAAGGGGTTTGTAGCGGAGTGCCAGTGTGCGGGTTCGACCGTGCCATCCATCTGCGCCCTTCCCCGCCTACGGTCTTAACCCTGTCTTGACACCGGGTCCAGGCGGGGGAGAAGGAGAGGGTGCCTTGGATGCTGCCATCACTATAAACTAATTCACGCACAAGTCACCGTCCCTGCTCTCACCTTGATGTAGAGCACACGGTGGACATTGTCGGCAACAACGGTCGAACTGTCGTACCCAAGTGTAACAGGTAAAGCTTACTTTTCTGACACGGCAGTTCGACCGCCGTAAGCGACAACGCCCACCCAAAGAGTTTCGAAGTAGTCGGAATTGCTGCTTTTCTAAAAAAAGGTGATGTTTCAATACGACACGATATCACTTCTAGTAACCTCTTTTATCTTTTCAATTCGCCTCAAGTCGTTCATTGTTAATAAAGAGTTTCATTTCACTAATCCGCGCCAGTTTGCGAGTGATTAAGGTTTCTTAAATTTCGACATATTTCATGTGTAAAGTGGCTTACACCGAGCCAGAAAATCTTGGGGGAGATTTGCATCTCGTGTCTGTCTCACGGAAGCACGCGGAAAAAAACTGACTGGATCTCAAATCTAGGACTTTTGGTTTCAGATTGGCTTGGGACGCGCAATCGTCAAGGACAAACAGACTGGAATGACGGTTTCTGGCTTATTCGCCCTCATCAGCCGACAATTTCGTTGATCAGGAGGACCAGAGACTGAGCCAGGCGCTCTGTAAGGCACACCTCTAATGTGACCAAGGTAGGATACTGCTGGCTACTGAAGTCAAGATAAAATTTCGCTCAAGTCGGTCGACAGGCCTCCAATGAGCTTTGGAGAATGGACAGGTGAAAAGGCTCCTGACATACTTAGCAGCCCAGTCCGGCTTGGTGATCGTGGTTCCCGGGTTACCGCAATAGCCAGCAGCACCGGTCGGGGGAACACGGCGTGTCGGTGTGACCCCCAAGCTGTAGAGGGGCGCTGATGGAGCCAGGTTCGTCTCGCCGACGTGTGATGTCTTCCGGTTGGCGAGTGTGCCGTTCAGCTTGTCAACACCAGCAAACCAAGAAGCTGTAGGCGGAGAAAAAAGCCATGATGGTGGACTACAATCGTGCGAAGCAAACGAAAAAGAATCAAAATCATAGTAGTCGATGCCACAAACACCCAGAAGTCCAAATACTAGGCACGATGATGCCGCTATTTGGCGAAACACTGGTCCTGTCTTTAAACAGAAGTTGTAAGACGGCGTAATGCCCTGTAAGATCTATTCACCCCAGTGCAGTAAGGACCCTCTAAAAATACACAGGCTAAAGTTCGCCGCATTTGCTCAGAAGAGTGACTGAGTATAATACCTTCAGCGGGGACCTCATGGCAGGCACAAGATTACACCACATCCTGCTGTTGTGTACGTGATGTTGTAACCTGGGAGTGACCGCTACAGCGCAGTTGCATAACTTGCCGCGATATTTCGGCCATGCCAGACGACGAGGTTGGCCCTGCAGCGGTAATTTTAGTGTGGACTTGTCTATTCAGTTTCAGTTTATTTGAGGGAAATATAAGTGTTGAACCTTTGAACTCCCTATTTGTTACAAGGAAGCGAACTATATCAAAAATTTGAAAATGAAAACATCAAACAGCTACAGAGTTTCTTCAGATTGACAAAGTTTTCGAAAGCAGACAGATAAACGAATTGTTCCAAGTGTTAAAACATTAACGTTACTAAATGTGCTGTACAGTAGTCTGTCTATGGATAATTGGTGTTATCTCAGTTTCTGTGGGAGACGAATTGAATGTTAACATCCACATTCAACAGACATGGGACAATAATAAAAAATAAACGTTACTGAAATACAGACAGTAATATGACAATATTAATTAACTGTTCGAACGAAATACTAAGACGTCAGTCAGGTGACATTATGACGTTTGGTGGAACACTGGTCCAACTTGCGCCTAAAAGCCTCGACGGTGGTGGACATGACGACATCTGCAGGCAGAGCATTCCAAGCCTCGATCACTCTGTTTCAAAAGAAGAACTTCCGAATGTCCAGCCTGGCGCCAGTCACACGTAGTTTAAGTGGATGAAGTAGACCTGCGCTGCATCTACCTCACCTTCTCCTCCCACAACTGATAGTTTGACGACGTCCGCCGCGTTTCCCGCTGAGTGGGCGCAGCATCTACCGTACTCTGTTCTTTCTCACCCACCTGGCTCCAATGGCATGACACTGTCGGCACGAGTGGAGGTGGGCACAGGTGCAGCGGATGACAAAGTCGAGCAACTCATCTACGCGTGCCACGCGCACGCTACGTGTTCCAG